GCACTCTAAAATACACAGGGAAATTTCGACTGCCTCCTTTGAGCCAGGGTCATCGCAACTACGACAGAACCTTTTGAAGGGCAATCCAATCGTTTCGGCATGTAGCCGAACAGGCCAGTGCCCTGTGCATACTGCAGTAAGCTTGTAGGTATCTTCTTCGCTTATTCCCAAGGGAGCTCTGGTTTAAGAGAGTCGTAGGACACCCAGAACTGCCGGATGATCCTGTACGGTTCCAGCTCTGCTTGGCCTTTGAGTGATGCATTTCGATAATCGCTAATTGTCGCTTTTATCTTCTCAGCGAGGCGCTCGTGTCCACCGCATGGGACACATTCAGTGCGGATGCGCACCTTGCTAGTTCGTCTGCTGTCTCGTTTCCGTAAATGTCCCTATGTCCCAGGACCCATAGTAGGATAATTTCGTATTGATCAGAGATATCGGCCAACTCTCTCCTACAGTCTTCCACTTGTTTAGATCTATCAGAGGTAGAAGAGGGTGCCTCAGCGGCAATTTTTTCGTCAAGAGACATTTTTTTGTTAAGGGAAATTTTTTGTCAATAGGCTTCGCACTAAATTTAAATAACTGTAAATCAAGAAAATCCAAAAATATGTAAAAACCACATGCATTTATTTTAAAATATACTAAAATATGTCCAAAAAATATGCAAAATATGCCAAAATATTCACTAACCGCCATTTTCAAGGAAATTTCATTATTTCCAATGATAACTTAACCATTTCCATTTAAAGATGACAAATAAAAACATGCATCTGCATGAGATTCCGAATCCTACTAATCACAAATTAGTAGCGCAAGGAGCTGATTGAAGATTTCGAAAAAAAACACACAATAAATGTAAACACAACCATATTTGAGATGTACACATTTGTTGCACTTCTTGAGGGCGCGGTGATATTTTATGCTGTCGTGGCCTTCTTGTCAAATGCATTTCAGTCGAACCATTGGCAACCACTTAAAAATTTTAGCATATCGCTTATTGTGGCCCTAGTTAGGTCCGCCAGCTGATTCATTAAACTCCTCGAACCCCTTAACAGCAAATTAAATGCTGTCATTCACGCAGCAGCTGTGGAGAAGTCCTATTCTAGAAGCATCGTTTCCTAACGGCCAATTACCGATAATGAAGGCAATTCTGGCCAAAATAGTTGCAAGTCTTTTGTTAGACTATTGAGAGACAGTAGACAAGACAGTTTGAAAGATTCTGTTTATTTTGGTAAGCTCGCGCTGCTTCAACCGGCGCAATGGCATAGTGAGCAAAACACTGGTTTGCCATTGAGATTTCTAAGGTTCGAATCCGAGCACCACGGAATCTTTTAAATTTGATTTTTCTTCTTTTTTAATTTAATTTTTAGATGTTATTGTTTTAAAAGGAAACATATTTTTATAATTTCTTTTAATTTTTAGAAACCTATCTTGTTTCTTTTTTTTATTATTTAATTTAATTTTCTTTTAATTTTAGTTTTCATTGTTTAAAAAAACATATATTTACATACAACGACATACATACATATACTTAACTTTGGAAAACTTATTCCTAAAAGACAAATAGAATAGCACTAAGACCTTCTAGTTAGGAGATCTTTCAATTAGTCTTTCGAATAAGAGAAAAGAGCTTTAAAAACAGTTTCCATAATTGGCAATTGTCTTAGAAAAACTTTTGTCTTTTAAGCTTTTTATACATTTCATATAGTCGCGTGCAGATTAAAAGCTCTCCTGCTCATCGCTGCATCAGATAGATCGTGGCAGCTGGCACGTTCTCCGTTTTTACGTCCGCGCTTTTAGTTTTAGTTTAATTGCTCAATTTTTCCAAGGCGGCCGCAGTGGCTGAGTGGTTGGAGGTACGCAATACCACTCCGAAAGAAAAGCGCTCGATACAAGTAATTTTTAGCAAAAAAAACCGACTTAAAAAAAATATATATATTATCTATATATTTCATGATTCAATGATCGGATCTAAACCAAATTAGTATGGCACCACCTCTGAGACACTGCCTTTCCGTTGCAAAAAGAATTATCGAAATCGGTTGACGTGGTCCAAAGTTATGCGGTAACATACATAAAAATAAAAAATATAAAATATTCCTCCTCCTTTTTGGAAGTCGGTTAAAAATATTATTATTATTATGTGTCGTAGCTATTTAAAATAGATTCCTACCCCTACAGCGCAGTCTATCTTGGACCCACCAGTGTATATACAGATGGCTTCCTTATCTGCAACTTGGCCTCTTCTCCGTTCGCTTCTGGATAGGAATCGTGACTGGGTTGGGTTAGCCACCATGTAGTCTGACAAATAACAAAACATCGTTCCATTTTCCTTTGTCAAAAACTTAAACCAATGCAAATTCATATCAAGTGGTGATATTAACTCGAACAACTGATTGCATTTTTCTTGCTTGGAGATTGTCTAAATAGGACGATTGTTGACGTTTTTTTCCTGGTTTCACAAGTAAATATTTCGCCTCGCTAGAATTTGACATGTCCACGTTAAATATTTACCAAAAACTATGAAAATGTAATAGCTCAGTTGTGCATACTTTGCACTGCACTACATTGAATGTAACTTTTATTTAAAATCCAAAACCAACAGACCTCTACATAACGTCGCTACCATGTCAAACTATCGAATGTGCAAAAATGGTTTTTCATTTACGATACCTTGCGCGTGCGTTTAGAATGATACGTAAGTTGGCGAAACTTCGAATTTCTAGTCTTCTTAGAAGCAGAGGATACTGACCTTAACAAAGGATCGAATCCTGCAATTTTTCCTAATGACAACAGCATTTTTACAACAGTTTCTTTGCCCTCCTGAAAAGTGCAGATTTTCACATTCGAAGGTTTCACATGGTAGCGACGATGTGTAATGCTGTGCGTTGGGTAACCGCTTACACGCAAAGCTCTTTTGACAGATTCCTTATGTGACAACTCTCATGCGATGCCAAGAATGCATAACTGAGCCTTAACTATCTTGCGAACGCATTAAAGCTCGGAACACTTTGACGACTGCAACTTCACGACGTAACGACAGCGACATCATTTTGTCGACAAATGTCGCCTTGAAGCCAGCTTCTTAAACATTTTGAAGACCTCAGCGACATAGCAAACAGCTGATTTTAAAGTTTGACATTTTGGTATATTTATTTCACAAATTGTGTATTTTTATTTAAGTAAATAAGAAAAACATGAACAATCAAGAATATGTGATTAATTTTGCGACAATTTAATTTTGCAGCACTACATCTACTCATTGTCGCCGGCAAAATTAGAAATATGTAGATTTAATTTGGCGACGTCGACAATTGCAGTCCTGCAGCCAAGATGTCGTGCTGTCGTCAAAATAATTGTGTCCGTAAAAACGGGTGTATTTAAAATTTGACAGATGCTGCTTGGCGCTTGCTGTCGTCAAAGTGTTCCGAGCTTTAAACTGTATCTACATACATATATATGTACTTGTTTGGTTAGAGCCAATAGTACAAAACCACATTTCAATTCAAACAACAAGAGTGGAATCAATTTGTCGCCGACATTGTAGGTCAGAGGCAAAATTACTCAAACGCAAGCACAGCGTCATCTGTATTTCGTCATTACCTATACCAAAGGTCGAATGTGACATTTTCCGTAAATGATTTTTTTATTATGCCGTTATTTTGGTGCCAAACAGCCCCTATACCAAAATTCAAGAAATTGCACTTTCTAAAATACTTAGTGCAAGTTTTATTGGAATCTTTAGATCAGCGCTGAACAGGATTATTCTGTTCACTTCAATTTTTTTTTGTTCTTCAATAACATTTGAAATTGCCTATTTAGGGCATTTTGCATTAATGCCGGCGATATGTACTTAGTGTCCACATATTTACATACCACTTTGCGATTTTTAAGTGTGAACATAAACATCCGTATCGGTCCGTGCATTGCTTTGTGGTTGGACAAGTGAACAGAACAAGCATTTACACTTTGCTCAACAAATTGTACCCGAATCCAATAGACAAGAGATTTAGCTTACAAGTGAAATGCAGAACCACTCCACAACAACATAAAAACGAAAATACTCAAACCGAACCACGTGACAGGCGAAGTGATAATCCTACAAGGTGACAACCCGGAAGTGAGCGCCACTTTTACGAAATTTTGTACACAAACATACCTAAATACGCTGCGGGTAAACGCACTAGTGCCGTACTGGTTTGGTACTGGAGAAATTATAACCATGACTAGTGCGCGGTAGTTCTCATTACCACGATAGCAACTGGCGAATTTAACACTTTGATGTCAATTTCCCCCCGCAGCATCCCTTTTTCAATATGTAGTTCCGAACGAGTTCTAAAATCGACGAAAAGACGAAAAAAGTTACATGATTTTTTCAAACAATGTGTTTTTGGTTTTCCCATGGTAGCGATTTTAAATTATTTTCAAACAAATGTGTTTTCAATTTGAGATCAAATTTATTGTCCAAAGGTGCTTGCTGTTATTGGTTAGATTCCAGAAGGTCACAGGGTGTTAAAATTCTAAAAAAAAAAACTTTGTTGTGCATTACCAAATTTTGAAACAGCATCTGTGCAGTGCAGCATGAAATCTTACTTGAACAAAAACCCGCGAAACAAATATCCATTTAAAATGAAGAAACCCCGTCTGCATCCCTTTTCTATAGCTCCGAACCAGTCTTAAATTCGTCACCTTAGAAAAATATATATGTTCTTGATTCCTGCATAAAAATATATTTTTTTTATGGAAAAAGTGGACTTAGCAGCATCTTTTCACTCTTAGCTAGCGATATGTAATTTTAAAAAGTAAAATATATATATTTTTTAAGTACCACACTCCGTTGCTTTTGAACTGGTAGGGATTTAGTTACTATCTGGCTGGTTCGCTTGAAGCGATAAAAATCTAGTACCGAACTAGAAATTTTGGTGTCCTTGTTCAGAGTTTCCCTGCAGGGTAAGTGCATATGTATGTTTGTGTGTGTATCTATATTTGTACCTATGGCTTACATGTTCTTCAACGTCATAGAATTTGAGACACATGCACCTGTATGACAGTATTTCGTTTTGAATTCATCTCTGATGAATAAAAAAAACTATATTAATGGAACAAAATGTTTATACATAAATACATACATAGTACATACCTTGCCTAATTTATTTTACATTTAACTACACTCTTTCTAAAGCAATTCGAAGAAAGTGTGTGACCCGCATATAAAACTATTTGGATAAACACTTGTCAGTGCTGTCATAGCCAGTGGAAGCCTACCTATTCCAGCAACCCCTTTACTTGCCACATGCAACGCTGTGTTTGGGCACATATGTATGTACACTCATAACCGTCGCCTAGCAACCACCAATAAATATTTGCATTCCCACTGGCGGCACATAAACAACATTCTCAGTAAGCTTTGAGTCAACAACTGCAGAAAACATTTCACAAACCATTGAATACTCTTGCACTTTAGAATTAACAAATAAATGCAATGGTCACAGTGGAGTGAGAGGCACATTTGCATCGATTCCCCCAATTTAATGGGTTCAGCACTTCGAAAAATCTGTGGTTGCTGCCAAAGAAGAAAAAGGTTCGTCGTGTGGCTCTTACAGTCCGCGCTCCACTCCGAACAATACTAATTGCATGTTCTTTATATATTTTAATCTTTTGCACCATAGAAATAGCGTCGGTGCAGTTCCCGAAAAACATCTGAAAGTTTTGCTACTGGGTCTGATGGGCAGCGGCAAATCCGAACTTGGTCACTTGCTGAGCCGCCAACAACGCCAAGACTACGAGCCGACAAACGGAGTGCAGTACTTTCGAATGCAACTCCCCGACCGACACTTGTCCCTCACAGAGGTGGGTGGTAATGTGGAAATGCAAAAAATATGGCATCATTACTTCCTTACAACGATGGGACTCATCTACTGTTTCGACATGTCGGCCTCCTTTGAAGAGCTTCAGAAATCCTTCGACTGCTTTCGAAACACTCTGATGCATCCGTACGTGCGTGGCAAGCCAGTCCTGCTCGTGGGCACCAAAGCCGATTTGGCGGACGAAGGCGTGCAGCTGTATGACATTGAGAACGCTTTCCTGCTGGAAGCTCTCGCCAAGTATTACCACAGCAGTGCGCACGTATGCTACGTCGGCAAGAGCATCGAGCTGACCAGTGTGTGGGATGGAGTGGCGTGGCTTATTAAGTATCTCATAGATAATATGGACCGGCTGCAAGCGAGAATTAAAATCGACGCCAATACGAAGGTAACCGAATCAGTGTAATGAAATCATTTGAAGACAGTGAATTAATATTGTCCATTCGATGCAGGCTTGGCAGGACAAAGTGAACCAGCTGGTCTCCGAAGGACGAATCAAGCAGAGTCGGTATCGCCACTTTCAATATCACTTCAAAAATACAGCACGCAGAAAGGTAAATTTGGTCTTTCAATATTTTTCCTATATAAAAAGGGGTTTCTTTTCACAGGTGTGGTACCGTTCGTTTGGCCACTTTCGAACAAAACGCATTCGACCACACACAGCGCCGGCCACAATAAACGCCGCAACGTTTGGCCTTTGTCCAATAGGGAAAGAACTAACAGCAATAGAGCGGCCAGAGGAGAAGTTCACCGATGTGCCAAACCCAAGTGCTCGTGCACTTGCAGTCGGAAAAGTTAGCTAGGAGGAGTGACGAAATTCAAAATTCTGTTGCTTCCACTGTAGTGAACTGCACATTTCTGCCTCCTTTAAAATTTTCATTGTGCGATTTTATTGCAAACGGACACCAGCTTCGTTTAACAGTGAAATAAATTGTTTTCAGGTGATCACCAACACATTTGTTTGTTTATTCAACACTCTTTGGACCTCTTCAATCACTTTTGTAGACACTTGCTTCAATTTCGAAGCACATAATGTCCTTTCCTTGTCCTAATTTAACCTGCAACTTATATTCGCCATCGGCGCTGCGATCCTGCAGGTCGTACGACAAACCGAATAGCGAGTTAAACGATATGGTTAGCTGTGCAAAAGAAATATTAAAAATAGGCATCATTTTGATTGACCCATTACAGCAACTTACGCCCTGCTTCGGTGGACAGCCGCGATCTTCCGCTGGAACCACGTTGGAGATCGTGTACCATAATTCGTTTTCATTGTACAACGCCGGACAGAAATTCGACCGACGGATGTTATAGATCGTGTCTACCCACTCGCCGCGAGCCTTCTTGTACACCTGAGCGTCGAGCTGTAGAGTAACAAAGCTCATTAGGAACACATCGATTGAGCTGCCGTAGAAATTACCTGAATGGGCACGTCACCATTGAATTGGTGCGTCAACTTCAGATCTCCGGTTACCTTCACAAGATCACCTTGTCTCTCGAATGTTAGGTCCGAAATGTCGAAGAATGTGTCTATGTAATTTTCCGGATAGTCCTCGCAAGGCGTGAAAACCTCCTCATTCTCCACGACGAAATCGTAATTGACAGCCTAAAATAGAGAATAAAATAGAGAAATCCATGGAACGGACAAAGGCAGAGGAACCTCAACGGCGGCAACGAACACGGAGAATGCTACGAAGTATGAAAAGCGCTCCAGAAATTTTCCTAGCATTTTCTAACCAACACTGTGGATAGTGAGACAAGTGTTTGGGTCTTTTATAGGATTTACATCGCATGCGTTTGCTTGCATATAGTACCTACTATGAACAATTTAATTGCCCTGGAATTAGAATTATCGCTTCCATCTGAATACGCGCTTCATTAGAAGTTACAAGCAAAACAAACACACAACAAGATGACAAGCTACTGATTTTGCAATGAGCAATGAATGAACATAACAAGTAAGCGCATGCAATAATGCAACCGGAATTTTTCGCCTTATCTGCTATCAGAGCGCAAAAGTGATAAAATTAAACAAACAAAAATAGTTTTATGTAACAAACTAGAACAAATCAAAAACCAATAAGAATATATAATTTGCATCACTGCAGTAAGCAAATTAACCGTTAAAGGCTCCTTTACAATTTTGAGGTTGAAAAAACTTCCCCAAACATCGTCTCTATATTTGTAAAACAGGGGAAGGAAATTTCTCCCAATTCCCCATTTTTCGAATTCTTACCGAAGAGCGTGCCATCTTCTGGTAGACGACCAAAAAGGATTGCGAAAGCTTATCGAAAAAGCTCCTTGCCTGAAAAGCTTCCCGGCATGTAACATCCTGAGATGCTCTTATCAAATGCCAAGTAAAGCAAAATGTAAGCTCAAAGTTTCTATGTATGTACTACATTTACAATCAGTCACAATCCAAAGGATGTACATATGTATGTATGTAGTTCCGCATCGATGCCTCACTGATGACAAGTAACGGCATTTGATTCCGCTTCCGATTCTTTTTCTATTGAAGTGTGCATTACATCTAACATTGCGTGACATTGACGGTAAAAGCCGGGACAGACGGCAGAGCTTCTGCATATAATCTGGCACACATATGTGAATAATAATTTTACCAATGCAGACGGCAGTAATGCGGATAAATGAGCCGCAAAGTCGTGGGCCAGTAGAATTTTCATTTATTTCGTTTACATAATTTTTTTCTTTATAAGTTCTATATTTTTTTACGTTGCTTTCAGTTAGTTGTTGTTGACTTTTTAATAAAATTCAAGTCTAAAAATTTAAAATAACTAATAGTAAAATAAAAAAAGTGGTATAAAATAAATGAAATTAAAATAAAATAAAGTAAAATTAAATATGTAAATCAAACAAAATAAAAAATATAAAAAAAAATTCGCAATCGCTCCAAACGAGGATTGAATCCGGCAGCTACAGGCTTGTAGTCCGCAACTCTCACCACTCGGCTACCGCGGACGCGAAACTCGCCAGCTTAGTTTGCTTACTTGTACAAAAGACAACAGCTAGCCGTCTTTTACCAGTGTTGTCATCGAAAATTCCCCGGATCCGGGTTAATTCCCAAAAGTTTCGCGCATTTGTTCGGCTGCTTATGCGCATTTTAAAGAGGGAAATGCATGAGCCAAAACAAATAAAGGCTGTATATGCAAATAATCGAGCCCGTTTGTCAACCGTATAAGATGTGAGGGCTTCTGAATCCGTTTATGGTAATCGTGCCAAAATATTTTGTGTGAGGCAACACTTTCACGTGGAAAATTGTCCAACAATGTCTTGTGACCTAGAGCGTTCATTTTCAATACATATATATAGGGATATACAACATTTTATGCGATAATCGAAAATATTTTATTTGGAAATATAGATATGTATACATTTTTGGGGCATATATCAAGCATACTTTTAATATTTTGGAGTCATTTCAATGATCATATAATTAAGTGTTTTGTGCATATTTATCTATGTATTCCCTAATTATCCTACACAATTTCCTTATGTGACTCCGCAAGCGCTTGTTGATCTCATAATCACCGCGCTTAAATGTGAGAATAGGTTTCCATTTCAAAAATAAACAGCGACCGCATCCACTTCTTAATCAGCCGTTGATACCGTTCTGTAAAGCATCACAGCATTAAATCGCGAGTACTCCCATCCCCACCTCCCTCGAAACCCCAGCGAGCTAGCGCTGCAGTGCATAAATTCAACGAGCGCAATAAATGCCCGTGAGAATGTGGACTGATTTCAGCACCTGCGCTTTTTCGATTGCCAATTACCCTTTCGTTGAATTTTAGAACTTACGGCTCTCATCGCAGACGATGACTACGACTACAGTGGCCTCAATAACTAAAGTTCTGAACACTTTGAAAACGACGAGCTACGGACCACAGCTTCCAATTTGTCATCTTCATTATCTAAACGCTTTGTCGATGGCGACATGATTTCTTTGAACGCGGCAGCGACATCATGAATTTGTATGAGTCTGACATAAAAGAAGAGGAAGAACCTTATCTGTCGCCATTAAAATAGAAATAGATCTAATCTGGCCACAACCACAACCGTCGCGTAGCCCGGTCGTCGCCAAAATAATTATCTACATAAGAGTACGTGTTAAAATAATTTGACAGCTGTGGTCCGTAGCTCGTCGTTTTCATTGTGTTCGGGCTATAACTCTTGTGAATGGATGTGAAAGTTTTGCCGGCCGTCGCCGGTCCCTCAATTGCATTTATCTACTTGTCAGCAAAAACACGCAACCACTGATGGGATAAATCCTTTACGCTGTTGACCTTAGTAACTCTACCCAACGAAGTCAAAAATATCAGCTGTCGAACAACTTGCAGCCGTTTTATATGAACGGAAATGGCAGACGCAAAATGTTCTCGACAAATTTAACGCTCGAATTCACTAAGCTTTGCTGTGCGTACGGGATGGGTTGTGGATGTTATCCTTTCGTGTCTATGTATTGATGCTATCCTTTTTACAGTCTAACCACATTGCGTGCTAATGACTATGCCCGTATGGCACGCAAAACGGGATTCATCGGAGTAATTTACATTGCGCGACTTATAAACAAGTGATGCTTCACACTCTAATCTTAAGCGTATGCACCGCACCCCAGCCAGGCAACCAGAAATCGGTACTTATTATCACTCGCTTATATGTGCATATCTATGTAAGTGCAATTACCCACACATACATGCTTACATTCATATGTATAAAAAGCACATGAGCCGGCACTTGCCGCTTCCCCGCCAGCCTCATCCGTCAATGCGTTGATTGCTCGTTCGTCGCCTGTCAGTCAACGCCGAGCTTGCGTCACTTTCGCCTATCGCGAGTAATTATTGCGATCACCGATGAAATCTCAAATACCAAAACATCGATTCAACCGCAAGGCGAAAACAAGAATTACAACAAATGCGCGATTAAATCTTAATTTCACAGCCGAACTCATTTGCTTCGCTGCGGTACCTTCCTTTTTCATTCGCCTGCAAATTCTGTCCAATGGGAGTCGACGGCGGTGTGGCATGTGCCGATAGTGGCGACGATAGCGTGGAATGTGTCGCCACCAGAACGCAATCCCGGCGATGCACACAGCCTGAGAGCGTTCGTTCCGTGATTGATGACATCTCAAATAAGCAATGATTGATGCTCGCGAGCTCACCCTCACGCAAACACCCATACCCATTACATACACCCCCGAATATTTTTATGTACTACAAATATGTTTACTCATATGTCCCTGCTACGATAATAAATACGGCAACAGGACCAACAAATTGGATGCCAGATTATACCAACATACACACATGCATAGGTTCAAGATATACATATGTATGTATATATGTATCACATAGCCTTTATCATCCCAGTACGGAAAGTAACTAGTTTAAA